CCCATCCCCAGTCTGAAGAGCTTAAGTGTGAAGATAGGATGGGCCAGGGACTGGAGTGGGAAGCAGGTTCCCTGACCTGGAAGTGTTAGAACAGGCTGACAAGCACTTGCTGATCGTTGACAAATACACCTGCAGCGCCTACGGTGTGCCAGGGGCTACAAGGCAGGCAGCCACGAATGAGACGGACCTAGATCCCAACCTAATGGAGTGTACATCCTACCCAGTGAGAGAATTTCATACTACTAATTCCACAATTATTTAATCACAATTGTGATGAGGACTGTGAAGAATTTATGCTAAGAAAGTATGTAACAAGGGACCGACCGAGTCTGGGGGATTTCTCTGAGGAAGGGGTGTTGCAGCTGAACCTGAATCAATGGATAGAGTTAGCCAGACAGATGGAGGAGGGGGACAAGTTCAAAGGTCCAAAGGTGGGAAGGAACTTGACCCCTTCTAGGACTTGAATGAGGTGGAGCTCAGAGCAAGGAGGAGAGTAGCAGGGAGGCAGGACAGGCGTGGAAGAAATGTGGCTGTGAAGGGAGGGGTAAATGGAGGGAAAAGAAGGATTAAGGCATTTGGGTTCTTTGTTTTGGAGAGAGAGCATAGCATCTTGAAATGTTAATGGAAAAAATACAGTGCGGGGGAGAAAGTGCAGGTGACAGAAGAGGTTATTGGTGGTTTAAAAATGCACGGAAGGTCGGGGAAGATGGTGGAATCCAAAGCACAGGTGAAAGGGGACCTTGGATGGGAGGACGGACAGCCCTAGAATGTGGGGGGCAGCAAGGACACGGGTAGGGTGGTAGGTTTGGTGCTGGGTGCTGAGGGAGTTCTGATGTTTGTTTTCTCAGAAGTACAGGGTAAAGCCATCTGCTGACTGCCAGGAGAGCTTCGTGAGTCCGAGCTCTGAGGAGAGAGCGGAGACTTATGGGAATACAGCATGAGTTGCCCCGGGAAACAGTGGGAGTGAGCTGCGCTGAGGGCCCTGGCAGCCTGGCCACCATGAACTTAGAGTGACTGCAGCTGTGCTGTTGTGTGCCTTTCTCCTCTTGGCTGCCTGGCTGCAGGATCAGGAAGGCCTAAGAGCTGGGTCCATCCAGGGCTGGGATTCTGACAGAGGGGATGGCGAAAGGACAGAGGGCAGGGGGTTTGGAGGATCGCTGCAGGCCAGTGATCAAAATGATGGCTCTCAACCGGGTTGGGCAGGAAGGAAGCAGAGATGTGGTCTGCCTACAGATCCCATGAAGAGATGCAAACACAAGATCCCCAAAGAACAAGCCCTGCAAAAGGCTCAATCTTTGAAACCTAAACACACAGCTCTTTCGCTTTTTACAACAGAAGGACACCAGTGCCCCTATGCCAGAATGACAGCCACCCTTAGCAAGATAACTTCTCTCAAGCCTGACGTAATGATGGATGATAGGGGGTGGCCCCAAACGGGTGTCCTACAACCTACTAAATTACCCTGTATATTTAATGGGGAGCCCTGCATTTCCTGCTTGTACTGACCAGGAGTTGGGACTACATGCTCCTCGCACTGAATCCAGGAATCAGGAAGCCCCCACCTCCAACTGTGTGTGAAAGAAGGGCCCAGAGCCTTCCTAAGGGCTGGCTGATTGTCTTGGCTGGGGTGTAATTCCTCTGGAGACAGTCCTGGAACTGGACCTAGCGGTTTTCTCAGGCACTGCCAGTGTTTTTTTACCCCTATCAGGGAGACAGAAGAGACTGACTTATTGACTTTCCCATAAAAGCTCCCTCTTTAGTTTGTCTCTTCTCCACTTTCTGGAAATTTTGCAAATGTTATCGCTAGGAGATCTGGGCTTTCTATGTGGACTGTCTTGTTCGTTCAGCACTTGCGGGACGGTGTGATAATCTGCAAGCTTCCCTCACTTTGCCAGGGGCCACTCCTCTATTGGCCCCATGCTACTGAGGAGTTGGAAAACAGTTCCGAAGGCTGAGACTCGGCCCTGGGCTAAGGCCGTTAAGAAGTGGCCACTTGCTCGATGCTGGGCAATCTGGGCTAACCGCTGTTCACGGTTTCCTGTCCTTCTCGCAGGTCTCACATTCTGGGGACTAGAAGCAGAGTGAAGTGGCTCTTCTCTGCTTTCAGAGAATCACATAGCAACAACTCAATCTCACCTTTGTGACAGTACATCTGAGAGAGGCAAAAGGCGGTCCTTTATAAAGCTGGGTGAGAACAAAAGGTTAACATGATATTGGTTACCTGAAGTAAAATTTGCTATCTTCTTAAAGACTTTTATAGTGGATCCATTTGATATCTGAAAGCAAAGATAAAAAATATATGAGTTTTCAAAATTTAATGGATTTCTCAACTGTACCCAGGAATTAGATGGCTGGCTGGGTTTTACAGTCTCTGGCTGAGTAAATCAGCTATTTATCAAGAATGCTGATGTTGGGAGCACTGTGCTGGAATGTGGGGCTATAATGCTGAGCAAGATACCATGTCTGCCCTCAAGGAGCTCCCAGTCCTGTGAAGGAGACAGGCAGACAATGAGATGCAGTGAGGCGGGTGCTAGAAGGTGGAGGCCAGGATGCAGGGGGTGAGGGGAGGTGGGCCAGACCTGGAAGAGGGGAGGCTAAGCTGTGCTGAGACACACCTCAACCTCCCAGCGGTCAAGACACACTGGGCCACTTGCATTTTCTGAGTTTCCTACTATATTAATAAATGCTGAAACAGGTTTCCAAAATCTGGCATATAAAGCTGGTGTGTATTTCACATGTAGGTATATACCCAACAGAGGTCAGTACATATCCTGAGAGTAAACTGTTGGTAATTGTCCCAGACTAGAAACAACCCAAATATCCATCAATGTAAAACAAATAAATACTGTGGAGTATGTTCATGCAACAGAATACTACAAAACAATGAAAATAAGCTAATGACTGCCACGTGCCACATGGATGAACGTCATAATGATGTTGAGTCAAAGAAGCCCAACGCCAAGGAATGCATCCTGTGTGATCCATTCATGTAAATCTAAGGGGAAAAACAAAACCAGCCCAAACTATGGTGTTAGAGGTTTGGCGAAGAGAGCCAGGGTGATTAGGAGGGTCCGGGAGGGGCTTTCGAGGTGCTGTAATGTTTTGTCTCTTGCCCTCAATGGTAATTTACAGGACATGTTCCCTTTGTGATAATTCATCCAGCAGTACACTCATGATTGGTTCTCTTCTCTGCAGGCATATCATATTTTTAAAAGGAAGCCTGTAAAATCGTAAGAATTGCATATACTTTTTTTATTAAAAGTTTTAAATTTATAACTTACAGGAAAGTACGTCATATTCACTAATACAAAGTGTACAACTCAAGTGTTCACTTAAGTATATACCTGTGTAACCACCACCCACACCAAGATACGAAATTATATCAAGGTCCTGAGAAATATCCCCATCATGACTTCCCCAATCAATAACTACCCCTTCCTCATCCAGAGTTAATCATTTCTCTGACTTCTATCACCATTGATTATCTGTTCTTGAACTTTATATAAATGGAATCATTCAGTATATAGTCTGTGTCTAGCTTCTTGGGGCCAATTTAAGGCCTGTGATGCTTATGCATGTTGTTGCAGCTATCAGCAGTTTGTCTTTTTAAAATTACTGTGTACTATTCCATTGTATGGATATACTACAGAAAAATGCCATACAATAAAAGAAGTATTGACACATGCTACAACATGCCTGAACCTCAAAAACATTATATTCAGTGAAAGGAATCAGTCACAAGAGACCATGTATTGTACAATCCCATTTATATAAAATGTCCAGAATAGGCAAATTTATACAGACTAAAAGTAGATGGCTAGTTGCCTAAAGCAGGGGTCGGAGGAATGAGGAGTGGCTGCTAATGCGGTCAAGGCTTCTTTTTGGGGTGATGAAAATGTTCTAAAATTAGATTGTGGTGATAACTGCACAACTCTGTAAAGGTACCCAAAACCATTGAGTTGTACACTTTAAAAAGGTGATCTTGAGCCGGCTGTGTGGCTCGTTAGTTAAGAGTTGGCTTGGGATGCCAGCTCTGAGCAGCAGGGCCCTGGTTCGGATCTCACATGAGGACCAGTGACACTGCTCCCTCCATAGCTAAGATGGTGAACAACAGCTCGACCTGGAGCTGGGCTGCCGTGAGTGGCGGACGACGGCGTAGGCTGCAGCCCCTGCTGTAGTGGGTTGCCATGGGCTACCGTGAGTGGCCAGCAGCCGGCGTGAGCTGCCATGAGCTGGCGTGAGCTGCCATGAGCTGACGTGAGCTGCCATGAGCTGACGTGAGCTTACATGAGCGGCCGTCCAATGGCTGGTGACCGATCTACCTCACTCAGGAGGAAAGCAATGATAATACCAACATGAGCCAATGAAGTGACGTCCTCCACAACTAGACTGAAGAACAAAAGCACAGCAACTTGTCTGTTCCCCTTCCCCAATTCCCCAATAAAATCTTTAGGAAAAAAAACCAGTGATCTCCATGGTATATAAATCACATCTCAATGGATCTGTCAAAAAATTGCCCCAGATTTAAAAGGTACACATTGGACAAATAAATGCTTTTACCACATCGACACACTGTTGCGATGCCTAAGTGTAGCCTCTACTGGAAATAAAGTCAAGAGTTCTCAATTGAGGCCCTTTGGGACTGTGCACTCCAGGACCAGAGGCCTTCTAATGCACTGCTCTCCCACACCTGAGCAGTGCAAGTGAGGCTGAGGGGAGCTAGAGGCTAAGAGGCAGAGGCCTCCACCCTCAGGAGAATTAAACTGCTCAGAGAGGCAGGTCCACAAAAATACAAGACCCAGGGGCCTTGAAGAAGAGGCAGGTTAGGGATACACAAATACCTTCATTCTGGAACTGTGGAGGGAGCATCAATCTTGTCATTTCTGAGTATTGTTAGCTAAGTGCTTTTCCCTTCACTCAAAAGCTCTAAGGCTGTTCTGAATTCTGATACTAATTTGGACCTGGCCTTCCCCAGTTCAGAAAAAAAAAAGAAGAAACTTAGAATTTCTCTTCTGGCCTGCGGCATTTCGGTTATCAGCGTGTACAAACCTGCTTAGCAAGCACCGAAGGATTAAAGCCTAATCTACTTCCGGTTGCACCCACAGAGGACGGAACACAGGCTCTGGGGAGGCCGGAGAGAGCGCAGCTGTCCGTCCAGTGGTGTCCAGCCAGCTGCTAAGTTTAGGCCAGAAGGCTCCAGCTGCTGGTGCTCACGACATCTTGCGGGGGTGGGATCGCCCGGGGTTGGTTGGGGACTTCAGGCCTCAGCAGTGTCTCCAGTGAGGGCTCTCAGTGTCTCCAGTGAGGGCTCTGAACCCTTATTGAGCTCTTTGACTGCTGTCATTAACAAACACCCTCTCCTCTCCCCTTGAACCATTCATTGTTTTCTGGCTGATTTTTCAATTTTCTTCTATATTTGATGCAATTAAAGTAAACGCTCTCTGTAGGCACCCCCTTAGCAATACTCAAACACCAAGTTTATGAGAATGTTTGAATAGAGTTACAAAATTCCTCCCTGAGAAGAGCTGGCTACGCTGTTTTCTAAGCCAATAAATATCTTTTTATAAAAGTAAGTGGGTGCTTCATTCGGGTAATTGTCAAAGAATGAATCCCAAATGGACCCCCTTGAGTGTTGAGCCAATACTCTGTTACTGTCAGATGCTTTGCTTTGCTGAAAGAGAGCACCCTTTCCCTATAATCACAAGCAGCGCGGTGGGGCCCTCCGCAAAGGAGAGCTGCCAAAAGTTCAAATGTCATCTCGGCTGCTGGCAGCTGCTCCTGCTGGCACTGTGCTCAGGCGCTCAGACGGCGCAGACCGGCTGGTACCCAGGAAGTTCTACTCTGAAATCATCTCCTGAGAGCAAGTGTAAAGCATTTTATTAGTGGGTGAGTTGAGTGAGTGTGTGTGTGTGTGTGTGTGTGTGTGTGTGTGTGTGTATGTGTGTGTATTTCCAACGTTCATGGCTGCTCTGGGGCTGAGACGTTTCCCCGCCACATGACACTTTAACATCATTGTAAAGACAAAAAAGTAATTTATTTTCAGATGTTCATTGGGGGAAAGGTTTCCCTTTTTTAGTTTGCACAAGTCAGCGACTACCAAGTTAAGGGCAGAAACGCCATTTTTGAAAAGTTCCACAGAATCCAAAGTGTTAAAAAAAAAAATGTTGCTGTTTGTTCCATCTGAGGAGCTCCAAATGCTTTCCTAAAAGTGACTCATTAATCCTCCTGTACTCCTGTGAGGCAGGGAGCATCCTCTAGGCTCCTACTTTAGGAATGAAAACCAAATTAAATCAAAGCAAGATTAATGTCACTGGATGGGTCTGAGACAGGAATGAGCAGAGCTGGTACACACGGCAATTTCAAATTAAATTCCTTCCAGTCGCGCAGTGCTCCTGGATTCGATGTGACAACAAGGCCGTGCCCCTTCCATGAAGGCTGGCCCATGCCACAATGCTGCAGAGATGAAGGTACACTTTTCCATCATCACAATTAGGAGTTGTTGACCACATGGGGAGAAATGAACCCATGTCAACAGCTGAAAGTAACTCTTGAAATAAATGGAAGCTATGTATCCTCTAAAACATTTGCAACTGAAGGTGAGACTTCTTTGTGCTAAAATATGTTTATGGCAGAAGTTGAAGATAATTCCATAAAAATAGATTTTCTAGAAATAGAAGTTCAAACTTATATTTAACCTTATGAAACTGCCACTTTTCTAGGTAAATATGGTCAAATATTGACAATTTCAAAGGGTTAGCCTAAAAGGAAAGCTGGAATTTCAGCTTAAGAATTTTATGAAAAATTTTGAATATTGACCATGTTCATAATTGAATATGGTCTGAAATCTTATATTTTTCCTTAAAGAAAAAAATCTGAAAACACAATAATCAAGACAACTCACCATGTGGAAGCCCTTACTGGTGTCTCTCATTTCTAAAATATTATTATGTGAAAACAGAATTCTATTCAACTAGCATTATCCCGACAGCCACTCGTCAATACTATTCTCCATATCTTCCGCCTTAGCTTGTCTCACTGACACCCCAAGGCCGGAGGCAGATGAAAAAGGAATCTTTTTCCTCAGGGCCAGAGGGATGACCTTGCTCAGTCCTTCAGCAATGGGGGCTCGGGGCGCCTCAGAACATTCTCAACAGACACATCAAATCACACCGGCGGTTCCTGACAGCCAGGACAGAGCCCTAACGAATTCTTAAAACTAGTGAAAATGCCAGTGCGTATTTGGACTCAGCCCCTGGGCCAGTTAGCAAATGCTCTCCGAGCACTGTTAGAGAGAGCGCTGAGCTGGTCCTCAGCAAGGAAGCTTGGCCTCCCTGAGTGTGTGTGAAACTGGAAACCCGCTCCCCGCCCCCCACACACACTCCTGCTGGGCTGCAGTCCTCAGCCCCTGGATGCCTGAAAGGCCTCTCTTCTGATGAAAGGAACTAAGGGAACTAACATCATCTTCAAGTAATGTTGGCCTTAAAGGATGTTAAAGGAGGATGAAAAATAAGGAAGCATTTTGATAAACTCACAGGCATGAGCTTCATCATAAAATTTGTAGAGAAGTTACCCTTTTGAATTTGACATCAGAGAAGGTAACTACCAAGATTTCTCCTAAATCAGCCCCAGCTCTCTAGCCAGGCTGCTTCAGAGGCTAGGAGCACGGGCTGCGAGTGGGTTCTGGCAAAGTGATCCCTCTGGCCCAGAAGGGCCTCGGTTCCAGGGCAATTTCTGTCTCATCTGCTCCCATCCCTGGGGCATCAGTGAGAAGAGCTATGTGACCGGCCAGGTTTCTTAGCCTCCCTGTGCCTCAGAACGGGAATAATGAAAGTATCTACCTCACTGGCTACAAAGAAGACGGAAGGAGTTGCTATTTGTACAAACTCCTAGGCTAGTGCCTGGTGTATAAGGTGCACTCCGTGCATTTGTTAAATGAATATCTGAAGTCATTAACACTGTAAGGAATCTTTAGAGATAGTCCAAACCCTTTATTTTAGTGTCACAGATGACACAGCTGACTGCAAGGACCACTGACTTGACTCAGCAGACCCTCTGGGACATTTCTGTGAGCTTTAAATGTCACCTGAATGACACCTTTGGCGCCACAGTGACCACTTCAGCATGAACGTGCACCTGCTACGAGGAACACCCTTCAACCAACGACACAGTGGTTCAATGTCCTCTCTGCTCCTCAGGACCTCACAGAATGAGGTGTGATCTGTGGAGGACATTTCCTGCTGGGCACAACGCTTGCACCACACACTTGGTGCCATTCCACACCAGGGTGTGGGTGTGATAACACAGTGCTGCAAAAGGTCACACGGGGGTGCAGGTGAGGGGAAGGTGGCCTGGACCCAGAGAAACCATCCCCCACCCCTACACACACACACACACACACACACACACACACGCACGCACGCACGCACGCACGCACGCGCGCGCGCGACTGGGGCTGGTCTCATCCGCTTCAGAACACAGCAGTCCCCTTCCTAGTCAAACACACACGGTGACAACCAGTTACGGAAGCACTCTGGAGGCCTTAGTCACAGGAGAGAAAAATGCCTCTGGCTTAATGTGTTCATAAAGATGTCGGAGTTCCCCCCTTGTCTGCAGAGTGAGACTGCGGCAGAACCTCACACCGCTCTGTGTTCATCTCACAGAAACTGTGGGTCATAAAAGCACCTTCATCAGACGGTGGCTGTGAACGTGAATCGCGCATGCGCATGGGAACAGCGTGGGGCACCGACCGCCATTGTTATCAGTGTGGAAAGCAATCGTGCCGACACCCAGGGTTGGCAAGGATGTCATCCTGTAGGTGACAGGGCACTGCTGGCAGTTGGGGCTCTGGAGGCTGCCCTGGCCCATGAGAAGCTGTATTTGTGCTGTGCCTTCAGGTCCCCTCTAGAAACCTTCCTCAATATATGGACAGTAAAGCATTCAAGGGAGGCCAGGTCCATTCACCCTCCACCGCTCCCAGGACAGCAAGTTGAGAAGAAGCAGGCTCCCACTGCAGCAGGGGAGACTTTGTTTAGCTAGTAGGAGGAACCGGCTGTCACTAAAGATTAACTTTAAAGCCTAACTAATTTGGGCTAATTGGAGGGAGGGGACTCTGAATCACTTCAACTCTGAGTTAGACCCTATTTTTAAATGAAATACAGTTTTTTGCTTTCAAGCACTTACAGTGACTCAAACTAGGACACTTGAGTAAATGAATAAGAGTGATAATTAGCATCTTGTCTCTTTGGAGGGAAATGCAAGTGCTCAGGACAAAACTTTAAGAAAAGAGCAAAAGCAAGCTTCAGCCCAGCCCTATCAAGTTACTCCAAATTTTGACTCTGCAGGGGTGCTGCTAAACTGAGTATAGAGTCAGGTGGCTGAGGGTGGTGGTGGGTACTTTTTTTAAGCAGTCTTTGGAAAACGGGGCATTTGAGATGGTCTGGCCATAGAGTTCAAGGGGCCCAGTGAGCTCCCATTTCTTTCAAGCTCTCTGTTTCTTTGCCTTATGGCTTAGCTTTTTAAACTAGGGAGACTCTTTTAAGCCCTTGCATCCTAGTCTTGTCATTTATTACATTATATGCAATGCCAGGGCATGAGGCCAATAAATCATCCGCACGGGAAGGGACTACAGGCAGGATTAATTCCATTATCACCCCTAAGCAGATAGGTGTCTAGCACGGCGCATGTCTCCAGGTAAGACTGATGCCCTCTCTGTCCTGACAACCTTCCCCTTGCCTTGCAGACAGCCATGGTGGTTTGTCATTTTCCCTGCAGGAGTGGCTTGTCCTAATAGCACTGAACGGCCACACCCCCTTCCTTTGGGCCCCACCCCATGCCACACGGTTGCCAGGGGACCCTGAGAAGCCTGACCAGCATGGCCCAGCTCTCCCCACACAGTTGAGCAAGGCAAGCACGTTAGTCAAGGGCGCCAAAGGAGGGCTGCGTTCCTTCCAAACTGGCCGAGACAAGTTGGCTCCCTGGACACAGGCAGAGGAGGGCATCGCTGAGGGTCTGTCTGAGACCTGAGCTTCAAACGGATGCCATATAAGCTCCTCTCTATGTGTTTCCACTGGCAGCGCAGCACCCCGGACTCTCACCAGGCGTGGCCCACCCGCAGGAGTTACGTCCTTTCAGTAAGTTCCCTGAGGATTTTTATAATCTCCAAAGCTAAGACTGACAGCTCTTGGCAAGAGGATTCCATGGACGGAAGGTCTGAGCTGCAGGGGGGTGAGCATAGGAGCATGTTGTTAAATTGATCCTCAGCTTCCTCTGCTGGGTGCTGCCTTCTGGCCAAGGCTGCAGGGACAGCACCTCCCCAGCTCTCACCCAAAGCCACCATTTCCAAGCTGGGTCTCAAACCCAACAGCCAAAGAGCCTGAGGATGAGGTGGGGTCTGTTCCTGGCCGTTGTCCAGAAATCTCTGCTCCAGGAAGTCTCTGCTTCTTCCGAGGTGAGGTGGAGCCTGGCAGGGTGCAAAAGGCCTTCCGGTGCTTATATGTCTCCCTGGGGCTTCATGGCCATGAAAAACAGGGGCGCCTGCTGTCCACATAGCCTGAGAAGCTGCTGCTCCTGTGTCCACCTCTGGAAAAGCCCCGGGACCTATGCGTCTGCCCTACCATCCCTGAGTGACTCCATCTCAACTGTCCCTCATCCCAGTCTCTGTCCCATGTGCCGGGCTGTGGTGTCCACCTCCTGCCCGTCCCTGAATCCGTCCGCTGTCTCCATCTCCAGAGCCACTGCATCACTGTGGGCCATCATCATCTCTTACTTGAAATTCTCCTCGTGACAGCTCTGAATGGGTCTCCCTGTTTCCAGGTTTCACCCTTATAGCCAGGCTCCACACACAGCCACTGTCATTTCCCGGGATATAAATCTCCCCTGCTTAAGATTCTCCCACTCTTCTTGGGATAAAATTCCAATTCCTGAAAAAGCTGCCTGGGCCTGCACGATCTACACCTCCTCTTCTCATCTCTGCCCCCCACTTCTCTGGCCTCCCTCCTGAGACTGCTGTGTAGGGTCTAGGGTCACACCACAGACCCTAGAGCCCAGCTACCTGAGTTTAAGTATTCACTCTGCCACTGATTAGCTGTTAGTAAACCTCAAGCTACAGTGTACCTGTCTATAAAGTAGGTTAATAGTAGTACCCACCGCGTAGAACTGCTGTAAGATAGCATGAGCCGAAATGAGGGGAAATGCTGAGGACAGCGCAGGGCACAGGGTAAGGGCTCTAGAGGTTGGTTATCATTCACTCCACTGCCACTCCTACCCCTCTCAAGTTTTAGCCTGTCTAAAAGTCTTCTTGTGGAAGAACACCCATGTTCTCCCTGCCCTGCTGGGCGTGCTGTTACCCCGCCAGCCAGGTTAAGTTCAGGTGTCAGCTTCCTCCAGGAAGCCCTCTCAGATGCTCCCACCACAGCACTATTTCACCCCAAGGGTTGCCTCATTGCTTGTCTCCTCTCCCCTTCTCCACCCCCTCTCCCGGGCTGCAGGATCCGTGAGTTCAGGGACCTGGGCTGTCTCGCTCACATGCATCCCCAGCTCTTAGCACACAGCAGATATTCAACAAATCTCTGGATGACGGTACTGAGTGACTCCCATTATCTCCGTGTGTTCAGGATTCTTCCCTGCCTCCTCCCCTTGTTCCATGCAGGCTTCTGGAGCACTGAGACTTCTGAGAGGTCACTTGCGTATAGCTGAGTATTACAAACAGGAAATGCAGAACTCCTTCAGAAAAAAGGACCTACACAAAAGGTGAAGTGGTCTATTGTGAACACTGGCAAGCAATGAGGCTTAGGACTTTTACAGGCTTTGTTCAGCGTCAAGCTCAACGATAACTCTTCTAGGGCTTCGCTGAGGAACAAACTTTGAGAGGCCAGAGGATCTCGTAAAGGGGAGGTTTCTCACCTAACCTGCAGGTGAAAATCAAAGCTTTCGGAGAGGGGCGTCCAAGGGAACCAGTAGACCACAACAGACAGTAATTCACAGGCCCTTCCAAATGAGCAACTAAGGAAAACTGTCCCAGAGAAAAACAGTCTGTCAACTATTCCGGAAAATGGCTGGGAATCCTGTTAATTTTTAAAAGAATTTACATGGTGCTGGGGGTGACCTAATCCGGTGAGGACTGGGGATGAGGTAGGGCATGTTGGGGGCTAAACCTTGTTCTTACCTCGTAGTGGCCAATGGTATTTAGCTTGGTTATTCCATCTTCAAGAATCACGGAGGAACTGTCAATATCCAGGAGCTCTTTCTGCCGGGTGCCCACTTGAAGCTCTGGAGGGAAGAAACAAACAAAAAACCCCAGCATTTTGTTGTCTTTTAAAATTACAATGGGGAATTTTAAATGCTACCCTGTCATTTTTGCAAATGTTAATCATAAATAGATAAAACTTAAATAAAGTGGAAAATATTGGTTTGAAGGCTCAGAGATCTATCAGCCAGATGGTTGCCTGAGTTTGTTTTTGTTTTTGTTTTATATTTAGAGCTTCAGTGCTCACACACATGTGTTTGTATGTTCACAAGCAGACATGCTGTGAGGTGCCTGGGCGAGGGGCACTGGTGGGCTAATATCCCAAAACACAGGGTTCAGACTCCTTCACAGAGGTTGCCAGCTTGTGCCCTAGGGTTAGAATGTGGCCCATGGGTGTGTGTTCTCTCTTTTTTGTGAATCTGCACCATCTTTTTACTTCTTATTATTTTAATGTCAACTCAGCACCAACGTTTAATGATTAGAACGTTGCACAAAGAAATTTGGACTTTGGCTCTTTTAAAAAACTAGACCATCTGGCAACCCTGACTGCACAGACCCACCATCAGCTGAGGCTAAGTGGCACTGCCCCCTTAGATGGCATGTCTTTGCCCTATGAAGCTGGGCCCCATCATTTTGTATTGTCCTAGGCAGGCCCTACGTATGGTACTTCCTGCCTCTTTGAGCATCGGAGTTTGTGAGCCTCTGCAGAAGAGGTCTGAGCAGAGCTGCTTCTGATATTGGATTGCAATACAATTTACAGCTGGTGTCTAAGGCTTTGCCTTGGTTTTCTGAGGCCAGCCTTGGAAGTAGATTGAAAGATCAGCAGACGTGCAGAAGCCTGACATGGCTGGTACGCTGTGTCCCATGTACCACCAGACTCCACGTGAAGCTTCTAGTTGGCTTGTCCTGCTCCCCACTTTCCTACATCAGGAGCCCAGGAGCATGTGATGGGCGAAAGCCAAGAACGGTGGGAGGACCCTACGGACTTGGCCAGTGGCAGGACTGAGGCCACTGGGCTGTTTTCCTGTGGTCCTTGCCTGTGTACGCCCATCTCCTCATCTGCGAGAGGTAGGCGCAGAGCAAGGAAGTTGATGGTACGGGTCCTACCATGGTTTCCTGGCTGGGGCTGCCCCTTTGTCTCTGTATCTAACCAGTGAGCTAAACTGGTCTTCAAGTGCCCAACAATCTAGCCAAGGTAAGGACACAGAAGAGAGGCGGGAGAGAGGGGCCTTGGCAGCTCTGCTTTAAAGCCGGGTCACGCAGTTGCTACACATTTACATGGTTTCACTCAAATTTGCCAGACCCTGCCCCCAGGCGTCTCTCAGTGGCCTCGCAGCGGGAGGTTTGACTTGACTTGGAGGGCGGGGTGGGATGATTTTGATTGCCCGCTTAGTGGAGGCTACAACTGTACTTGGAGGGGAGATGAACCTTGTTACGCTGTCACTGCTGTGATTTTACTCTTCTTTCCTGTCCCATTATCTGCTATAAAATCCCATGACAGTCTCCTGGGAGGGCTGCATGGAGCTCAACTTTAAAATGTTGATGAACATTTGAGTGAAGTGGAGCCCTGTTAGCTTGCTCACGCATATGCTCTCCTTTGCAGTGTACCAATAGAGCCCGAAAATGAATTCACAGCAGATGCTGCTTCGTGGTGGGGGAGGATGGAGGGTATACTTAATGCAGGATGTGATTAGCAGAGAGGAAGATGACCTTTCCAGCGTGCTGGAGTTAACACCCAGCGTCTGAGCCACTCACTAATGACACAGTCGGTATCACAACAAACAAATCAAATGCCAACGTGAAATGCAACACATCCAGAGGGCACGGGGTTTACACCTTTTTGTACTTCCTGATGCAAGGTGAATCCATTCGGTCTCAGGGTTAGCATTCTCATGAATCTGATTTACAAACACAATATTAAAAAAACACAGCATCTTTGAAGGATTCTGCTTCCTAAGAAGACTCATGCCACTCTCAGGAGAGCAATGGAGTCTCTTGGCCCCAGACGTGCCCTCTGGAAACACCCAGGATGTCCATGTGGGGGCAGGGCGGGAGGATTGGAGGGATGCTCCTCAGGGATTGGGACAAAATACACAGCTCCTGCATTGCCCGCCTTACCAAGACAAATTTCATTCAGCTGAAGTCCATAAGGAGAGCCATTTTTGCTGAGGAATGCTTGGAAAATCTTTTCTTTGGCTTGGCCGATAGTATCACAATCAAGAACATTGACTGAAATATTCCGACAGACATCTGCACTGTCGTTTTCTGGGATTTTTTCAAAGACGACGTTTAATGCCTGCAAGAATATAAACAGGTTTCCAAGTCTATTAGGTAATTGCCATCTGAAAGGCATTCATAAAAGACACAAACCTCAGCGAGTCCTACTAATACCTCCAATAGCACATTAGCAAACACCGTATTGCATTAAGTTACTTTCATCTTTTTTCCATAATCCATTCTTTTCAGGGATAATGGAAAGGAAAACAGAAAGTTAAAACTCTCATTACAAAGCAAGCATTGAATAAATATATTTGAGAGTAAAATACAGATACTCATAAATATTATCAAACTAGTGATTTCTAATTTCATCCTCTCTCTCTCTCTCTCTCTCTCTCTGCATATATATACATATATATATATATATATGAAAGGTTGCATAGTAGGTGAGGGCAGGCTGGTGATCATCTTTTTATTAACAGGACCACTGAGTCCCAGAAGTGAAGATCCAGGTGACAGGAAAGGTTACGAGGTTCCCGTGTTGATCACGCAGAAGAGGTCACTTTTTAATATGCAGAATTAATTACAGCAATGTTCCTCTCCCCCTCCACTTTCAACATCTTCCATCAGATTCCCGAGCCCTCATTAAAACACTGAGATCCCCACCCTGCACCATTATCCTGGCATTAATTACTTTCCATTTCAGTGCCGTTTTGTCAGTTAACATTCTCCCAGTCTCAGAATCAGGCGAATGGGGGAAGTACGGCCTTTGTGAATGTATGAAGACACGGAACTAGGGAATATTTCAAAATGAGGTCAAAAGCAATTTTGGGTTTATTTTGTCTACGCACAAATGAACACACCTAAAACAACAAAGTTTACTTAACTATGGATGCTCAGGGGACTGAGTTACGCATGTGCTTGGAGTGTTTTGTAATTAGCATAGCGGGCAACCTAGATTCTAAGGCACCTTGGTAATCATGGAGTCAGAGGGACCTCGGTATGGTGTAAAATGCACAATTATTCAACGTTTTTGAGCCTGATTGTCATGAGGGAACATAAAATGATACTGAAAATGTTTAAAAATAAAAATGAAAACACAAATATTGTGGAGAATGGGGGTTGTTAGGTTTAACAACTTTAAAGTGGGTATAATAACAGTACCTGGCTTCTAGTGTTGCTATGGAGATTCAATGAGCTAATGCATGTCAAAGGCTCGGCATAGGGCTAGGCTGCTGGGAAGGGCCCAGGGATAATCATAACAGTGATAAGTTATTATTTCATATAACTCATCATAGTTATTATTGTTAGTATTGGCATGCTTTCATGTGGAAACAAAGACTCAGCTGGTACTGAGCAGCTGGGACGCTGACCCCATGTTAGTATCTGTCAGAGGAAAGAGGCTGCTGCCAGCATACAGACCAGGCACAGTGTTCACTCTGGGGTCAGACTCCTGGGTTCAATCTCAGCCCTCCACTAACCAGCTGGGTAACCTCTTGGCCTATCACTAACCAGCTGGGTGACCTCTCAACCTGTCACTAACCAGCTGGGTAACCCCTTAACCTGTCACTAACCAGCTGGGTGACCTCTCGGCCTATCACTAACCAGCTGGGTGACCTCTAGCTCAGTTTTCTCACCTACAAAGTGGAAATAACAATAGTTAACTGCCTCCCCGGGTTCCTGTGAGGATGAACTGAATTAACCACAGAGCCCTTAGCACAGTGTCTGGGATGATGTGACTTATGGACCAATGATATGGAAAAGGGGATTCTGAGTTCTGCAGAGGTTCTCCGGGGTGTATCTTCTCGTCACTCCCTGTAAACCCCCTAGAACTCTGTTTCCAATTATGCAAGAGCACATTTTGGTCCAGTCCTAACTGAGTGATTAAAACTCGGAAACAGTGGAATCTGAACTCAGGCTAAGCTGTGATCTTGGTCTGGCCCGTGTGAACTCCCTCCTCCCGGAACACAGACTTGCTTCCGCGCCTGCGCTCCGAGCACGTACATGTTTGGGCCAGTCACCCACTGGGAAGGGAAGCCAACCTGAAATACTAAGTGGGAGAGAAGGCAGCAAGTGCTGCGTGAGCAGGGCAACTACTGGGCAGACTGCCAGGAAGGAAGCAACGAGGCGACGCCTCCCGCCAGACTCCTCTGCTGTGCCTCCCTTTTTAGGGACATTTATCGAGGCCTCTGGGGCCAGACAACCTGCCAAATGCATTTCAAGACATACTTCTTTTAATCTTCTCAATATCCTGGGGTTGGAGGTTGTATAGTTATTATCCCCATCTTCGAGTGAGGAAACTGAGGCACAGAGGGGCCCAGTAACTTGCTCCAGGGATACAGCTCGTAAGTGGCAGAGCCACAAGTTGGTGCCATGAACCACTCAGATACAGGCCTCACCCCCTGCCACCCTAGCTCTCCCTCACCCTCCTCGTCCCACCTACAGCCCAGAACCCTCCAGACCTCATGGAGCCCTGTCTTCCTGAGCTAGATTCCCCAGTACAAATGTGGGTTCCGGCGGGGGCTGGAGAGGTAAATGCTAGTTCTGCCTCCGACTGTCTGAGCAGACTTGCCCGCGACACCCCATAGCTTCCTACGAGCTGGTCTCCTCACTGGGGAGTAAGGGTGGTTAAGTGAGTTCACAGAGCTCCAAAGACAACGCATCTTTTAATCAGAGCCCCAGCGATCGCAGCTTGTTGAACAGTTTTACAGGTATTTGTGAAATAACATTGTGTGACTACCTAACGGGCACTATTGTCTTTAACAAAAACACCGCTTTATAGGCAATGAATGTTCTTCTAAAAACATAACCAAAAGGAAAAAAATCTTTACTGGATGTAAAATAATGTAAATCTGCCACTGCCTCCACAGCTAGATGGGTGGATAAAAGGTAAAATGGCATTTTATAGAGTCCACAGGGAATTCTGAGAGTAAATTCAGGCACAAATTGATTTGTGTTCATTTTTTATGCTGCCAACGCTTCATACTCAAACAGCAATTTCCTAGAGCCTGAGTGCAGTCAGGCTCTCAGCATGGGCCCTGTCCTGACCCCCACCCAGGGTTTGGAAAGCACACGGGGCCTCTGCTCCCCATCAGGGAAGGCCCATCATGGACGCATCAGTTCCCCATAAAGACCCATTTAACCAGAGTCTCCTCTGTGCCCTGCTCCCTGTTAGCGGCTGGGTGTAGGACAGACCTTAAGACACAGTCCTTATTCTCAGAGAGCTGTGTAATCCACACTGCACTTGAGAAATAAAGCATCACCTATGAAACAATATTCAGCCACCAAGGGCAGCTCTATCACTCTCAGGAAGTGTTCACAAGGAATTCGAGGAGGCTGAGGGCCCTGAGCATTGGCACCATGGACAAGTCATTTAACATCCCTGAGCCCCTGAGCCCTAAAATTCTCATTGCTCCTATCTCAAAGGAGTGATGGGATCACTAAATAACAACATGTAATATTAATAGCAAATGAAGGAGTGCTTCCTGTGTGCCAAGCACTATTGGAAATGATGTGTGTGTGTGTGTGTGTGTGTGTGTTATATGTAAATTAGTCTCAGAAACAGTCCTATGACATAGAGTCTATTATTATTCCCATTTTACAGATGAGCAATTGAGGCAGAGAGAGGTTAAGTCAATTGCACATGCTCACAAGAAGATGGTAGAAGAAGGCACTCTGTCCCCATATTCTTCAACACTTGGTAAGCCTAGCTTTCAGAAAATGAAAATGTTTTGTAAACTAAATGTGGTCCAAATCTATGGAGTGGCGATTAATTTTAAGTACCCACAAAAGGCTAAAGTGCTATAAAATGTATACCGGCGTCTTCACCAGAAATTCAAGCCTCTGTTCAGAGGAACTACTCTGGCTCTCCTTATTTCCTTGGCATGAAAGCAACAGCAAAGCTGGGGCAACAGATATGACTGGTTGTCCAATCAACAGCCAGCTCTCCTTTTCTGTTAACAGAAGCCAGTTATAGATGGCAGTGGGCCAAGACTAGGTTAGGAAACATGGCTCGTGGCAACTCCCTTCTCCTCCACAGAGACTGGTCATGTAACCCAGTTCCGTCCAATGAGACATAAAGCCAAAGGGTTCCTATTGTAACAAAAGGTAGGGGGAGCAGTGCTTAGAGCTGTGGCAGCTATTTTGTGACTAGGAGGCAAGGCCAAAAGGAACATGGAGATGGTGACTCAGAGCCCTGACACTGCTGAGTGGATGTACCATCCTTGGGGCTACTTACCTCCAGACTTTCTGCTCTAGGATGCAATTCCATGTTCTTACTATTTCAGGCACCCTTAGTCAGATGTTCCCTTACTAACAGCTGAATACACCCAAACTGACAGGCACACCTTGTTGATGTTGTGATAGATAATCCAATCACAGACAGACATCTACTTGGCATGTAATGTGTGCAGAGCAGTGCAGATATACAAAGGAGAACCTGGCCTGAATTCTACCTGCGAAGTATTTGAAGACTGGTAGGACAACTGTGGGATACACACAACAAATTCGGATACCAGGTGGAAAATTGTCGGTATAGGTGAAGGGCTTTAGAGGTTCACAGAGATATTACCTCTAGATGGGAGGAGGGGTTTTAAAGGGAGAGACATCAGGGAAGCCTGCATGGAGGAAGGGACATTTGCATTGGGTCTGGAAAGGAGCTGCATGTGCAGCAGTATATGAGGCAGCCTCTGAACCATGGTGATACTTGTCTTCAATTCTAATTAGATTGGTGAGCAGCAAGCTTCAATCTTGTACTCAGGCTCCAAGGTAAGGAAGTCTAAATAAAGAATCTCACATCCTTTGCATAGAATGAGGGGTGGAGGACTTGAAGACCTATGCTTGCCTTTCCAAAAGCACCACCTGCCACCTGAGAAGCCTTGTACTATTTATAGAAACAAAAGGTGAAGAAGAGAGTACTGTTTCAGGTTTCTAATAATAATAGCAAGCACTGTTGAACACTTACCATGTACCGGGAATTGTCTTAAATGTTTTGCTAATTCACTGAATCCTCACAGCCTCATTTAATGGATGAAGAAACTGAGACACAAGAGTTTCAGAAATGTGTCCAAGGTTGCAGAG